AATGTTTTTAAATCGTCCTGTCCGCGAGTATTGGGTTTATTTCCTCCATATTTGGCCATTTTGGGAGATTATTGAAGGGATTGAAGAGGGATTCAAGAGGAATCATTGGGATGTAAGATTCTTGGACTAAAAACTCGATTATTATGTGAATACCACCTAGAAAATCATGAAAGCTAAGCCTAAAATTGAAGAACTAGGGCTTAAGAAATTGGACTTTTGATTTGGGATTTGGAGGCCCATTTGGGGTCGGTTTTGAGAACTTTTGATATGTATGAACTCGTGGGGAGATAAGGAATCTATTGATGTGAAAATTTCTGAGTTTCGAGAAGTGGGCCCGGGGTCGGGTTTTGGTAATTTCAGGATTTGTGCCCTTTATTGATTGTTTTCGATTGGGCTTCGTTCCCTTAGCATATTTTGATGTACGCATTCTAATTTTGGATAGATTTGACGCTCGTGGAGGCCAATTTGAGGGGAAAAGGCGTCGCGAGCTAGAGATTTAGCCGGTTCGAGGTGAGTAATGATTGTAAATGATGTTCTAAGGGTTTGAAACCCCGGATTGCACATCGTAGTGCTATATTAAGGCGAGACACACACTTGATGACGAGTGTGGGGTCATGCACTATTGGGGATTGTGACTTGGTCTGTCCCGGTTGATAATTTTACCGCGTATTTGATAGAAAACTATTTGTTATCGCCATTATTTTGGTTGAATGCCATATTTGGGCTTAGTGCCAACTATTTTAACCCTTCGGGGATTTTTATTGATATTTTCTCACTGGTTTGACTTTATACTTGAACTCAGTCATGGTATTTTCTACTGTTTTACTACTCAACCATGTTTACTCAGTTTTAATACTTAAATAATATTTTAAATGATGTTTAGGTGGAGAAACACTGTTTCACTATTGCCCGAGAGGCTTGTGATGATTTTTGACTGAGTAAGACAGAGGGCCTACGTTGTGAGGAAACACTGATCCTGATATGAGGCCGAGGGCCTGAGATATGTACGCCACGAGGTGGCTTGATTGATATGAGGCCGAGGGTCTAGTTTGATGCCACGAGATGGCTTGTTATTGTGCTTGGGCCGTAAGGGGCCCCTCTAGGAGTCTGCACGCCCCCAATGAGCGCGGGTACCCATTGTGATGTGAGATTGAGCCCGAGGGGCTGGTATTGTTCTGAGATATTGCCCGAGGGGCGGATTGTTGATACTGTGCCCGAGGGGCGAACTTCTATTTGTTTACTTTACCTTAATTACCTGTCAATTACTTGTTTACTTGTTGAAGGAGGATTTACTTGACTTTCCACTATTTTTCTGCATTTAAATCGTTTTACTGCTTCATTATAGAATGCATTGTGCCTTACGTGTTTTCTTACTTTCAGTCGTTATTTACATTTGTTACTCATTGAGTTGGAGTACTCACTTTACTCCCTGCACTCCTGTGTGACGATTCAGGCGTAGCTGGTACCGCTCCCAAGTACTGATCCCTCTAGTTTCAAGCGAGCATTCGGAGACTATGAGGCAGTTGTTGACGTCCACAGCCCCGTGTTTCTACTCTTTTATCATTTCTATTTCATTTCAAACATTTGTACTAGTTTATGGATTTAGCAGACTTGTATTATGGCCTATAGACGCTCATGACTTGTGACACCCCAGTTAGGGCTGTGTCGGGTGTAATTCTGCATATTATCAATATTTTTCCACTATTTAGTACATTTAAATCATGGTTAGACTATTTTTATGTTGATTAACTGTTTAAAAAGTGAATTGGGTTTCACTGGCTGGCCTTGTCTTCACGATAGGCGCCATCACGATCGGGTTCGGGTTTAGGGTCGTGACAAGTTGGTATCATAGCCTAGGTTACATAGGTCTCACGAGTCATGAGCAGGTTTAGTAGAGTCTCGCGAATCAGTATGGGGACGTCTGTATTTATCCTCGAGAGGCTGCAGAACCTTTAGGAAAAAAAACTTCATATTCTTGAAATTCTTGTCGTGCGAACTTGTTGATCCGAGTACTAAACTTCTGTTATTCTATTCTCTCACAGATGGTGAGGACACGCGCTACTGGTCGGGGTAGACGAACCCCAGTACCAAGGCGGGCTATTAAAGATGCTAGAATACTTTGTGTCTTGCTAAGAAAGATACTTGAAATAACTTAGTTGAAGTAGAAGTAGCATAATAGGTTTTAGGAATTAATATTTTGAGTTTAATTACTTGTTGGCTTGTAATAGTTTTCATAATTCCAAAACCCAAAAAAAAATTAATGCATTATTATTTTTAAACTTACTAAATAAATATATTTTCCAAATGTAAAATTTATTCAGTACTGTTCGGTATTTTTTTGGTTTATTTTTATAAAATGAAAAACCTACCCTAATAATCGGTGCGGTTATAGATTTATATAAAAACCTACGATTTCTTAAAAAACCTAAAAATCGGTTCAGTTCGATCGGTTTAGTCGGTTTTCGAATATTCATTGGCACCCCTACCTCAAGTACATTCGTCATGAATTTAGTACATTTATAGCTTGTTTGGATGGTTGTTACCTATTGTATCGTATCGTATTGTTACTTTAAATACAATGTTTGTTTTGATTGTTACTTAAATTTTATTGTATCGTATCGTTAAATTCATCGTCACATAACGACGAAATGTGCCACTTTATGTAACGACTGATTTGGTGTGGTCGCGTCATTACCTTATCTTTTTCTCTCAATCTCACCCTTTATTATTATTAATTATTTTATTTTATCATTTACCCTACTTTTTTATATAGTAATTTTAGCTTGTATCATAATTTTTCTTTATAATATTGCAAGTTTATTCTTCATATTGTTGGTGCGTGATATCATGAAACGATGGCAAACGACACAATCTATCCAAACATTGTATTTATCAAACGATACAGCACAATACAATACAGTACGATACGATATGAAACGACGCGTAACAACCATCCAAACAAGTTTTTAAGCATGTATCAACATATATATAACAATGTTTCACGATAAATGTCGGGGGAGTCTAAAAAAATAGCACTCGCTCGAGGTTCTAAATTTAAGCTCACACGCGTAAGGTAGCTTGCTACAAAAGAAAACATTAGATCATTGGCTATAAAATTCATGACTAGGTCAAATTTCTCATTCCTTTGAATAGTATGTATTCTTATCTAAATTTATCATTTAACTTAAGGAAGTTAACGTTTTAATGCATATGCTAAGTCGGAAAGACCACGATTTTATATTCCAAGTTGCCATATATATATATATATATATATATATATATATATATATATATATATATACATATATATATATACCGGCAAGAAAATATATGAATTCTGCCGGCTATCCCTATTAATTGAGATTCAAAAAACGAATCGTGATATACTTAAGAAACTTTCCGTCCTGAAATTTCTGTTTGATGATGAACATTAATCTCGTTAATCCTTTGGACATGATCCTATTTTCTATAGGACTTAAAAAAAATTTATGTACTTACAGATTAACCGTAACATATACAATATTTGATTAAAGAATGTTAACATTAGGAGTTCATATATAGAGACAATTTGAAGCTTGAATTCGTCGGCACGGCTAGTCGTCCCACATAATCTTGACACTTGATCTATTTAAAATTCCTAAACCAGCGTTCTCATCGTCCATTTTTGGCTTCCTGGCCACTTAAACTTGTCGGGTTTTTTAAAGCCGATAGATATACTTATAACTTTCCCATTAGAACACCCGAACTCGTTTTTTCCATAACTAATAAACATATTTGACCATTGACCATGCCCATGTGGCGTCAGTTGGTCCTAATCAGCAGCCCGCATGAGGAACACGACGCACAGGAGCGTGAAAACCCCCTTCCCAATGCCCAACAGTACAAAATACCCCCTTCGTCCATTTTTAAAAATCTGAAGCTCTATTTTCAAAATTTTTTTCATTTTTCAGACTGTGAAAATGGTGGAAAGTAGGGAAATTAGAGGGCCTAATTCTGCAATGTTTTCTTTCATGTTTTCATTATGCATAGAAGAAGAGATTCTGGGGTATTTCAAGTTTCAATAAGGAGGGCCTTCGGATTCTCTTTGAAATTCCAAGCTAGAAAGACGACATACAACGGCATGCCGACAGTGATCTTCAAAACAAGAGACTACTATGTCATCATGGCGGCTCAATGTAAGAGGACAATTGTTGGTCGATTTCTGAAGACCCGATCCCGAATTATAGGTCAAGATTCTCTAAAAAATTCCCTTTGAAGGGATCTGCAAAAATTGGAGTTTATGATAAATTAAATGTGTTTCTCAGCTTCACTAATGATGAAGATTACAATTTTGTTCTATATAAGCGGGTGATTGAAATTGAAGGTCTGCAAACATACCCAAATTCTGCAAACATTGTAGGAAATTAGGGCACTATCTTGTTAACTGTTGAATCCTTGAAATAAAAAGGCTGGAAGAAAAGAAGGAAGAGGAATGAAAGAGTAACATGGAAAAGGATCAAGCTGAGCCACCTGTGAAACAAAATAATGAAAAGCAGATAGCCATTGTTGATGAAGAAGAACGCTAAAGTAGTCAAAGAGAAGGAGTTGTTGCTTGACTTTTCGCGCCCTTACATGTAAGACATCCATTGATCATTTGTTGACTGGATGGACACGTATGTGTATGTGTAATACATGCGCACATGGTCAATGGTCAGATGTGTTTATTAGTTATGGAAAAAACGAGTTCGAGTGTTCAAATGGGAAAGTTATAAGTTTATGTATCGGCTTTAAAAAACCCAAGAAGTTTAAGTGGCTAGGAAATCATTTCGCCTAATATTAAATAATAGAGAATGAAGGAATCACCTTGACTTATTCTTTTTAACTTGCTCATGTACTTAACAATGATGTAAATGTTTGAATTAGTCAAAAAATGAATTAAGTTGACAATGTTGAGCATATACCATACTATAAATATCACCATTGTTGTTGCCAGTTTCCTCACCAAGAAATCCAAAAGGAAAACAAGCTAGATATGGCTAAATACACGGCCTTCGTTGCCCTTCTCTTCTGTCTTCTCCTTATCGCTGCTACTGGTGAGTCAAATTAAGTAGCTCATTTTTTTTTAATCAAATTAAATGATTGAGATGTTCAGGATTGTCCCAAGATACTGTCTCGTTAATTTGTATAATCTAACGTAAAGAAACATTTCTTTTTCTTTTCTATTTTCCAGTTATATTACTGTATGTACTTCAAAAGGTTATATCTTTCATGGTACAAATATTTCTAGCATAATACTAGGAAAATATCACCATATAATATATAGACTTGACCATTTTTTTCCAATTCGTATATTAAGTCATCAGGGGTATATTTTCATTAAGCATTTATTCTTAGTTTGCAAAATTCATGCTTTATGCAGAGATGCAGATGGCAGAAGCAAAATATTGTTCGAAGAAAAATCACAAATGGCATGGACCTTGCCAATACTCTTACAAATGTAGCCAGCATTGTAAGCACTGGTTTGGAGCTAAATATGGAATTTGTAAAAAATACCAATGGGGACACAAACATCATCATTGGGCAAAATATGCTTGTTATTGCTACTCTCCTTGCCATTAATCATAATAAGGAACTTCAGAGTCTCAAGACTTGTCTTTGACAAAAGAAATAAGAAGCTATCTATTTATGTATGTCTAATAAATACTGCACCAGCAAGCAGTTACTATGATTGTCTTTTGTTTGACAATGTAACAAGTTTGATTGTAGGGTCTAGCTAGCCTGATATCCCTCTCCCCCCTTCAGGCTTTTCTTGAATAATTATTTTGCTTTTGTTTAATGTGAACTAAGGTATGTCATTTTCCCAAGATACTGTTTAATGTGGCTATGTATGTCATTTAATGATTTATGATAAATGAATAAATAGTTCAATTCTATTATTAAATCAACATGTGTTAGGCTTATCTAGTAGTAAAGACTAGATGCCATCATAAAATCCTAAGGTAAAAAATTGGGATCATGACATGTACGCAAAATGCATACGATGAGAGTGCTAGTAGACCCAAGGTTGATACTTGGGAAAAACTTCGTGGCACACTGAGGGATAAGTTCCTGCCTAGCAACTCGTCTTGGGTTGCTAGGGATCGCTTGAAGTAGTTGAGACAGACTGGTTCTATTCGGGACTATGTGAAGGATTTTTTATCTTTGTTGCTGGACATCCAAATATGTCGGATGCGGATAAACTGCATAATTTCATTTCCGGAATGCAAGGTTGGGCACAAAACAGAATTTGTAGGTAGAAAGTTAAAGATCATTTTAGTGCAATTGCGGCAGCGGACGTGCCGCGACCCTAGAACTCACCCGATCGTGATGTCGCCTACGTGAAATTAGGCCAGACGACACAAACCCAAAACTAACCAGAAAATCTTAAGAAGTCATTTTAAGCCATTAATTAACTAAAATTCCATAATATAAGTTTAAATAAGCAGTGCGGAAATATAACACAAGCCCGACATCGGGGTGTCACCAGTCATGAGCAACTATAAACTCGTCTAAGAACAAGAAGGCTAACATAGTCCGAAAATAAAATACTAAGACAATCTGAGTAACATAAGAAGGAGAAGTGCAGGGCTGCGAACGCCAAGAAGCTACCTAGCGAACTCCGGAGACCTGCTGGAAGACTGATCAGCACTCACTATCGCGTTCCGAGACTCTTGGATCTGCACACAAAGTGAAGGGAGTAATGTGAGTACACCAACTCAGTAAGTAATAAAAGTAAAAGTAGCTGAGCAATAAGAAAATAGGTAATTTCAGGTCATAGCACTACAGTAAAACAGTATATGTCCAGAACAATACAGTAAATCAACTAACTCGTAAAACAGCTCAGTTCAGTAAAACCTTTTTAAAATATTTTTCAATAGTTTCAAACCAGTGATGAAAACTATAAGTAAAAGGATAGAAACGTAAACAGCCCCTCGGGAAAAACATATACCATAAACCGCCCCTCAGGCAAAATATCAACAGAACCAGCCCCTCGGGCTACCTCACATTCACTTGTAATCAACCCCTCGGGCAACAACATGAAACAACAAAATGGCCTCGGGCAATATCACATCACTCACACTCGGTACCCGTGCTTAATGGGGGTGTTCATACTTCGTAGGGGCTCCTAAAGCCCAAGCGCTATAACAAGCCATCTTGTGGCATAATCAATCAGGCCCTCTGCCTCACATAACAATCTACCTCGTGGCATAATAAATCAGGTCATCGGCCTCTCATATATAACAAATCAGTACAACATGCTGCGGCGCGTAGCCCGATCCCATGATATCCTCACAACATAGGCCCTCGGCCTCACTTAGTCAGAAACCTCTAAAGCCATTTGGGCCACAATAAAACAGGATGCTCAGTTGAAATATCATTTAAAGTATCAAAACAGAGTAAATAATACTGAGTTATGAAATTAGTCTAACATAGCATGACTGAGTACAGTTGTTAAATCAAAACAGTAGAATTTCAGTAAAGAAAGCCTCTAAGGGTCCAAACAGTTGGCACGAGGCCTAAATATGGCATCTAGCCAAAACATAGTAATACTTTCCAAAACACAATAGTATCAAATAGTTTTCAATCAAATATGCGACATAATAGTCGTACGGGATGGACCAAGTCACAATCTCCAACGGTATACGACCCACGCTTGTCATCTAGCGTGTGCGTCATCTCAAAGTAGTGAAACAATGTGAAATCCGGGGTTTCATACCCTCCGGACAACATTTACAATCATTACTTACCTTAAACCGGTCCAAACTCTAACCCGCAATGCCTTTGCCTCTCGAATTGGTCTCCAAATGCTCCAAATCTAACAAGGATCAGCTTCACATCATTAATACACGCTAAAGGAACAAAGCCTGAGCGAAAATAATCAAATTAACTCAAAAATTCCGAAATTGGTCAACCTGACCCCGGGCCTATGTTTCGGAATCCGATAAAAATTACATCACTAGAATCCTTATCCTCCCACGAGTCTATACATACTAAGAACATCAAAATCAGACCTCAAATTGTCCCTCAAATCCCCAATTTAAACTCTCCAATTTTTCTTCCATTTTCCCCCAATTTTCACCACAAATTCCCAAATTAAATGATAAAATCAAGACATAATCAAGGGATTTAACCAAATTTGAGTGAATAACACTTATCCCAATCAATCCTCTGAAAATCCCCTCCAAAACCGCCTTCTCCCGAGCTCTATAGCTCCAAAAATGCAAAAATGGCCGAAATCCTCGAAATAGAGTACTTTATAAGGCTGCCCAGGCTTCCTATTTCGCGAACGCGGGACAACCATCGCGTCCGCGATGAAGAAAAATATCGGCTCCCAAAAATGCTCTACGTGTTTGAGGCACAAGCCTCGCGAACACGATACATACTGGAGAAATAACTACGCGAACGCGTTACTCTATTTGTGAACGCGAAGAACACAGCATCAACACATCGCGAACGCGACCACCATAGCGTGAATGCGAAGAACAAAGCTCTGCTCTAGCCAAATTACCCTTCGCGAACGCGATGCTCCATCCTCGATCACGAAGCACATCTGAGACACCAGAAGACCAGCAAATACAGCAATGCAAAATAAAGGAAAAATAGCCGGAAATCAATCAGAAACACGCCCGGGCCCCTTGGGACCACGTCCAAACCTACCAACTAGTCCCATAACATAATATGGACCTGCTCGAGGCCCCGAAGCACACATAACAACATCGAAACGACAAATCACACCTCAAATTCGAATTCATTGCACTTTGAAATTTCAACTTCCACAACCAATGCCGAAACATATCAAATCACGTCCGAATGACCTAAAATTTTGCACACACGTCACAAATGACACAACGGACCTACTCCAATTTCCGGAATTCCATTCTGACCTCGATATCAAGATTTCCATTGCCAATCAAAAAATGCCAAATTTCCAATTTCGCCAATTCAAGCCTAAATCTACCACGGACCTCCAAAATACATTCCGGACGCGCTCCCAAGTACAAAATCACCTAACGGAGCTAATCAAATCATAAAAATCCAAATCTGAGATTGAATACTACGATATCAAAATTTGTTCAAACCTTTCAAATTTAAAGCTTCAAACTGAGAATTGTTCTTCCAAATCTATTTTGATTATCCTGGAAACCAAAACCGACGATTTACATAAATCATACTACATCATACGGGGCTACTCATGCCCAAGAACTGGCAAGAGAAGTGCAAATGCTCAAGACGACCGATCGGGTCGTTACATCCTCCCCCACTTAAACATACGTTCATCCTCGAACGTGTCCAGAGTTATTCCAAAAGCTGACAAATTGTTGTATAACCTTACCAGGAACATACCCGAGGGTGATCCCACATCACTCCATCCCATATAGGTCTAATAGCACAACATACTGAAATTCTGCAATCCAACCAAGCCAGTAAACCTTAGAACCAAATTTCCACTTCTGAAATCATTTATAAGATCAGAATCTCACATCTATACTCTGAATAAATCCGAACAAGCTATAACAAACCATATCTTAAATCCTAGATGCAATTACATGATATCCCACATAACCCAAACACTCGTAGCGATAACTCCTAATCACAGCAGTTGCTCAAAACAACCGAATAGCGATAATAAACCTCTTATCAAATAAAGCCTAATTCCAACACTTTCGTATACTGCCAATGATGAATGAAACACGCCGAAAGTCATAACTATTCCTCAGATCAACCATTCATGAAGCTCCCTTTCCTTTGGCAAGGCCCATAGTAAATTTCTAAGTCGAATCCTGATATTATCCTTCCAAATGCTGAAACCTAATCCGATAGTATTCATTCGAGATCCCAATGACCTCATCTCATCCAATACGGCTACTCTAGTTACATGACACATCGATACAATCTCAAGCCACAACCTGTGCACTAATAAGCAACAGTCCAAATGTACTCAAATCATGGAAAGTGAATCAAATGAGAGATCTGTACCGCAAGATCACCAGTACCACCATAACACGATGCTAAGAACTAATCACACACCGTAGAACCAGAACACGTGAATCTAACCCAGAGGATCATACCTCCACATAACTTCGCTGCAATATGCAACCCTATCCAAACATTGGCCTACATGAAACACCTCACGTCACCATGCTCAAATTCAACTACCACGCGCAATTTGATGCCTAGCACCAAAAGCAAATCATCGTAACCACGGAGAAGAAACTAACATGATACCACACAAACCCGAAAGGACATAGCCAATACACCATCCACCTAGCAATAACCAATATTATTCCTGCTTGAATTCCACTATGAGACCCCAATAGAACTGCACCATATGTGCCTATAACCAATAAATCATAACTCCCCGCAACACAAAAAGTTAACTCATAGATCACCCCAGAACATGAATAAGATCAATAACAATCAATTCAACACATCGCTCAACAACAGCAACTTGGAGTCAACATGGCCGACTTGATGCAGAACACACAACCATATTGGTCTACCAATGAACCCCTTATCAAGAAGTTCTTGCAGCTGCCCATTCAACTCCTTTAACTCCTTCGGTGCCATACGATACGGTGCTCAGCACCAAATTAATAACCCTAACCGGCGGCATGCCCAACAGCAGGAAACACATCCGGAAAATCCCTCACCGCCGGAATTGAATCAATGGTAGGAGCCTCTACATTGACATCCCTCACGAAGGCCAAATAAGAAAGACAACCCTTCCCAACCATCCGCTGGGTCTTCAAAAATGAAATCACCCTACTGGAAACATAATCCGTCGAACCTCGCCACTCAATCCGTGGCATCCCCGGCATAGCTAACGTCGTCGTCT